AAGGCAGACAGATTCATGAAGGACAGTAACTGAAAGGAAGCTACAGGCCCAAAGCTTATGAGCAGTGACAGTGCAAGACAACAGAATCAGCCTGCAAGGGAGTCAACTAACAAAACCTGAGGGAGATACTGTTAGGTGAAAACAGGTAACAGGGCAGTGGCCTTGAGAGTCTAGCACTGTGGCTTAACACAGCAGTTCATGACAGTGCTCCCATCATCCTCCATCACATGGCACCATGTATTAGTTTCTTAACTACAGAGATCTAAGGAAGCAGTTCAAGAAACACTGTGGCTCTGAGATAAGAACTTCGTTACCTCCAGAATATATTATTGAGGCCAGGAGAAAGGCTGGAAAAGGTTACTACAGAAGAGAAAAGGCTGTGTGTTACAGCTAGAGAGACCTAAAACATCTTCTGTATCACCAGTGTCACTGGTTCTAATCCAAGAAAAAGATTTCTGATGGATACAGTGGTAAAGAGTACCTGACTTAGAGCAAGGGAGTTGCTGTTAGGCACCCACTTTACTTAAATCTTCCAGATCTGACTGTAAAAATATTCCTTTCAGCCAAAAATTTAGCAGGAGGATTGTCAATGTCGTATCAGAGAATTATAAAACATTTTAAAAAATAGAAAAAAACAGTTGCCATGCATTGCCTTTACTTACATCAATTGTTTTAAAATAGCAGTTACATTAAAAGAAGAATCTCCTTTATTTTTCTTGCTTAAAGTAATAATGGAAAAATTCAAAGCCTGCCAAACGCTTACACTTGTGAGCAACTTTAATCCTGTGAGTAGTTGTACTGAAGAAAACAGAACTACTCATGACAGTAAGTGCCTGTCACTCTTCCAGCACTAAGTGACAGACAGAGAATATACTTAAGGAAGTGATATCCTGTACAGGAATCAGCTAACATCTTATGCATCTTTTTTAAGTGGGATCAAAGAACTACTCAACACACAGAGTAATCACACAGAAACAGAGAAGTATTTTCCTTGTCTCTGATTACTTTTGCAGCAATAATAACCATTGGTATTACTAAGAACAGGTAAAAATGTCGAGGCAGAAATATGTTTTAAAGGATGCCCCTTTAAAACAGATCAAAAATGGAGTATTTAAACATATGTTGCATACATTTTTTCAGTCTTAAAATGACCAGGTAAAACTGCGAGAATTGATTTTGAAAGGAAGTCTCAATTACTATTCCATAACCTCATGCAGACATTTCAACAACTGCTTGCTACTTGATAGTACATGGCTTGCACCATATGGTCTTACCACAGAAATAAGCTTGAGGCTTTGGCTCTGCAGTTAGATGTATGTAGAGATGTCAAGGACAAAGCCTGAAGAATTGAATTGCCTTTGAACAGAACCAAATGGTTGAAGGCATACCACAGCTTGGGTTTATTTAAGGGCTTTAAATTTACTCGGAAACATAAGTGTTTGCTTTCAAAATACTTCTTAATGTTCTTTATTCAGGTTTCCCTAAAGACAGAAAAAAAATAAAATCTCATGCTTTGATACAACAGACATTTTTTTAAATTGGTGTGTTTCTGCACAACTGCCAATTGTAGCCCAATTCAATGGCCAGCACGGATCCCACTACAAAATCCAACAGGAGTTTGTGAAAATGCTGGTCTGTCAATGGGGGAAGCAAAGGTTTGATTGGGTAACTGATACCATGATTTCTCTCCTGCAACAGCTTCTTCCTATGCCCTGATTCATAAGGCTCCTTCGAAATGACATTTCCAGCCTTGTTGTGTTATTCTGTACAACGGACAATTTACAGGAGAGAAAAAATCTGCCTTGTTCAAACCTGCTTTCCAGATGTGAAGCACCAACTCCCCATAGTAGACTACACTGTTCAAAGAACAAAAGAAAGACTTCTATTTCTCAATGAAAAATAATCTTCAGTGAAAAATCACATCTTCCTTGGTGTCGTTAGTGCTATAAAACTAAATTAAGACAACAGGGTTCACGGAATCAGGAAATCTTCACATTCTTACGACTCATTCCAATTTGAATTCAGAACATGGCTTCATACAGGAAAATTGTACTTGCAGTTTTCTTTGTAAACATTCTCAGCTATGTTGTAATAACTGTGGTAATGTGCACTGAATGCAGAAAATACATTTTATAACTTCTTATTCACCCAGCTGCTAAAACACCAAATGATCTACATGACATATGCACATGCTGGAGTTGCTTCATTTGTTAGAATGTATAATTTCTCAAGAACAGCTTTAGATGATCTGCACTGCTGAATCCCAAAAATGCAATCTGCTTTGTCCTTATTTAAGAGTGCATCTGAGAATACACATGTGAATTATCTGTAAAAATGACTTTTTTTTTTTTATTTTTAGCACAGCATTTGGGCTGTGTCTTGTGGCCAAGCTTATGCATCAGTAATGTACAATATTAAAGTCGTTAAAACATCATCTGAAGCTTTTTTCATGAACACAAACCAAAGTCAATACCCCACCAGTTAAATAATGCATTTCATAATTATAGCAAATATTTAATTTTCAAACAAATATCCTTTTGCTCTTCCAGAATCAACAGCAGCAGTTAACATGATGGTTCACAATTAATAGGGACCCAGGAGAAAACCTCACACAATCAGTACTTTTCATCTACATATTTATGAGATTTCATCAATTATTCATGTTATATTTACTACTGGGAGTGGTGAATATGACAATCATCCCTGCTGGAGAACCAGTCAGTTCTCTTTAAAGTGTTGCAAGCAGCAATAATTCAATTCTAAAACTATTATATAGAGATTAAGGGACATTTTTAGGACCTGAATATTCTGCATGAAACTATTGTTTTCAATTAACTGAACCACAATTTTCCTAATTGATCAACCCCCACACTCTTCTTCAGAAGCCTAGACTTACAGCCACAGTGTGAATCACCCTGCAATTCCCAAGAGATACCAAATCTTACCGAAACCTCTCTCTGATGCAGCAGTTACCTAGCAGCAAAACCTAGCAACCCTCTAGTACAAGATTAATCCCACAGCGATCATCATAAAGTCATATCTAAAAGATATTTAAGTATGCCATCCAAAGGTATATAAAAATACAACACAAAAATACTCAGGCTGTTCAGCTATACAGATTAGAAAAGACTACCCAACATCACGATAAGCTATTTATTTGTTGTTCAGTGAGGTCTCATTTGCTCAGCTCTCCCCAGAAAGACAGAAAGAACCCAGATCTACAAAGGGACACACAAAACATTTAGATGCAACTAAGATATTGAAAACCCTTCCTTACCTACAATTTAATGTTTGAGCAATAAAATCCCTTAGTCTCTATAGCTAGAGGGTAAGTGCAGAATTCCTCGGGTGTAGGTTCTGTTCAGTTGCTTGGCACTGAAGTCCTAGCAGGGTACTCAAACTAAACACTTTCTCCCCTTTCTCTTCTACAACATAGTAAGCATTTTCAAATCACCTTAGAGTGACCAGGACACACACAGAATACAGCCAGACATTAAGTCCTCCTTGTTCTATGCTGTCTATCTGCATCCTACCCAACAATATAGTGTGCACAACCCTCACCTGAGAAGGGGATTACACTCTGGGACTGGTACTATGGTGCCAGGAGGAGAGAACGTTAGTCACAATGCAGCATTTTCCCTGAGGGATGGGACGTCCTTGCTCCAAATCAGGGAATAGAAAAACTGGAACTAGGTTTATTATCTCAGTAAATCCCTGCCACACCCCTTAATATCTCTTACCAACTCTCTGGGTGGTTCCCCACACAGTTTACTGGGAACCTACATGCTTCACTGTCTGGCTGAAAACTCCACCAGGTGATCTGTGCTTAAACCATTTGTCCTGGCAACACTCTGCAAAGTTCCTTTGCAACTGTAGCATGAAGTGTCTAACTCCTCCTTGAGCTTTCCCTTTGTGTAGCATGCTCCCATTCCACAGAGAGCTGTATATACACTTCTGAAGGTAGGCTTGGACCTGGGCAGGCACAACAGACCTAGAATCTTTAGATGTGCCCTAAAACTATCATGCAAACAGAGGTTAGAAGCGTGCAATATAAGGAGAACCCACATCTTTACTGCAACTCTGCATTTTTCCCTCACACTAAACATGAGGCTTTCTGAATGCATTTGTAGTTGTGCACCAAAAAAGCGTAGTGGCCTACTGTTTAAAAATCCTTGGGCAAGACGTCAAATTAACAGCACCAGAAAGCTGTAGCCTTCCTTTGTTAAGAGAGTAAATAGCAAAGCATGAGCAAAGTGCTGACTTTCCTGCTTTGCTTTACTTACACAGAGCAAGAAAAGCTATGTTCCAGTGAGAAGGGGGAAAGGTAATTCAATCTTTGCACCAGTTAAGCTCTCAGCTTTCCTCTGGGACTCCTGAAGGGAGTAACAGTGGTGTGGACACTAAAGAGTAAATCTGAGTCAGATTCTTGCTGAACTGCCATCTGCCAGTAACAGCCGTCACCAAGCTGTAAAATACAATTGGACCAGAAAAACTGATAGCAAAGAGCTCTGATATACAACCCTGAGCTGCTAAGTCATACATTTTACTATAAAAAAAATACACGATGGACTATGACAGTGCTTTTAAGAGGATGGCTTGGCCACAGTGAAAAATAAGCCAAAAAGAAAACAAATACTCTTGTGGTTCTTGTCCTTCAACAGTAACAGGAGCTTTATCCATGCCATGAGAGCTACCTGCACGCAGCCCACATACACTCTGGCCAGCCACATTCTGAAACCCACACACTGACAGAACTGCCTTCTGAATTCATCTGCCAGTGAGGGATTACGAGCAATAATACTGCAAGACTGGCTCTTGCTTCTAATTGCTAAATACTGAACTATTATACTATTATAACACTGAATTTATTTTTCCTCATGTCCAGCTATACACCCAACAGCCACTCTGTTACAGTCAGTTTTGACTATGATCAGCAATTGATTTTAAGCACTTCAGTGACCACAACTGCGTCATTAACAGCTTCAGATAGCACTGCTTACCTTAAATCTTTCTGAAACCCCTTCAGTGATGCTGATTGTGAATTCAGCTATTTTAGGAGTACGGAACTTTCCCTTCTTGCGATCAGGTTCATATTCTGTTTTCGTTTTGACCACAACCTTTAAAAAATAAAAAAAAATAAAAAAAAAATCAAAAAGCTGTCCGATGACACTAGCCACAGGAATCTTAATTTATTCATTAACTCTTCTTTTACCTGATTACAAGCACATCTATCACAGTATTCCCCCCCAACTTTGTGTAGTTCTTTGGAAGCAATAAGTTGTTATTTTCCCTGTCATGGCAATCGACAAAATTATCTCTAAAAGTGGTTTTGAAAGACCTACAGGAAAACTTGTTATGCAACAGTTTCACAAACATTCAATTTTTTCACCCGTGGTGGTACTGTGCTGCTACACTAGGCAAATATGTACTCAGCTCAAATTCAAATCATGAGGCTTCTCACTTTGCATAGTTTGAAAATAGCCACCTCCATTTGTTTCAGGAGATCCCATTAATGGCATTTCAAACTGGAGAACAACAGGATTGGAGACAATTACTGAAAAGTGCCCACAGAAATGTAGCAAAGATGATGTCACCAGTAGCTATGTTCTCTGATGGCAGGATTTTGAGTTTAGAAATGAAATGACCCACCTAGTTGCTATTCACGAAGTGCCAGACTACAGCTCTTCACACTCTTATTTTAACATCTAACTTTTAAATTATCAGCTACAAGCAACAAAGCTCACACAAACCCTGATGTTAATGAGATTTCTTGAAACCCAAGACTCTTTAACTTCAGCTTAAGTCCTTGCTATGAGCTACTGCCCCAAGCTACACAATTTACCAACTTACCTTTATTCCTAAAATATTCATTACGTCAGTCGTATCTCTCGTGCTCTCCTAGGCATTCTAAGTGTACAGAATTTCCAGATACTTAACCTATTTACCTCATTTTTGTCTTCTACAATTTTTTAGGATCTTTTTCAAAGTATCACTCTCAAGACAGGGTGCAGTTTATCTTACTGACTGGGCTATTAAGTTCTGCTCAATTTTCTCTGTTGTTCCAAAGAATAAATATCTAGACACTTCTAGATTTTTAGAACCAGATTACACCTTTTAAAGCAGCCTGTGGTAGCAACAGCAACTACACTATTCTGAAATTAAGACTTACACTTACAGGTAGCCAGGCACTGAATTTAAAGCCTTGGGTTCCTCTCTCCTCAATTCCCTGAAATGGTATCTAGAATGTGTATCTAGTACCTAGACTCAGTACCACAAAGCTTATTAGACACTGTAACAGCACATACATGTGCAGGACATGGGTTTAGAAACTACTGATTTTCAGCTATAATTAATCAGGTAATTGTTAACTATTTAACTTGACAACTGCCCAGCAGCATCATGGAAGTAAACTGTCTGAAGATTTTTGGGACGCTTTTTAAACATTTTATTTCTCTTCTTTCCCCCTTTACATTGCATAATCTAAGGCAACTCAAATCACATTCAGCTGACACTGAATGTACAGTTCTATCTGCTTGGTTATGTAACGTCTTCTTTTGTTTAACGTACCTAAATATGAATTTAAATCAGCTCATCCCTTTAATTTAGAAGCTGTCAAAATCATCAAATTCTTAGTGCTGTAGTCACTACTGTCCAAGAAGTTATGCTTCACTGCCATACTGGAGCCTTGTAAGCATAGATGTATGAAGTATGTACTCCTATTCATCATACACAAGTGTCTTTGCACTTCAGAATTTGATCTGTGTGTCAGTCTTAACTTATATTCACATCAGTTGTTCTACTACTGCCTTTGAGTCCACAGCAACCAGTGAAGACACACTGACATGACTAACCAGACAGAAGGAAAACAGTAGGACCAATGAACATATGGTTTTATTTTCTCCTTTATGTTTGCAAAAGGAAAGGAAAGTTAATATACAGATAGACAGTGGAAAGAGTAGAAGAGCCAATCAAATATTCCTTTAGTTTAGCTTCTAGCCTAGTTGCACATTTTTCTTCCTTCAAGGCAAAGGTAGTGAAGGTGGGAAGAGTTCCACCCCATTCTACTGGGAGCAGCAGGGCTGGCACAAACCTCCTGGGTTCGCTACAGAAGCTCCACTCAGGTTAAACCTATTACCATACAGGTCTCTAGTTCAGACTGCTGCCTATCAATGCAGTAATGTAACAAATTCCTTTGAATGTTGGTCCTTGGTAATCGGTTATATCCAGTCACCAGTTGGCAGGCCTATCAGACACAGTAAGACTTAACTTGTTTTAAAGCCTTAGGGTGTAATTTTGTCCTCAGTTACAAGATTTACACCCATGTAACCGAGGGCAGAAAATGGACCCTCAGGCTCTCTAACAGCTGTTATGGCTTATTGCATTTATGCCTGCCAACTGGTCACCACACATAACACAGAATGATATTGATAGCAATTAAAATGGAGGTCACAAATTTATTTGTATTGCCTACAAGCAACACTCTACTGAGGCAAATTTCACAAGCTAAAATTCTTTATCCCAAGATAAGATTACAGGATTTTTTATTAAGCTATGAGGATCATATAGCTCTAGAAGTAGAATTGAACTCCTGGAAGACACAATGCCAAAAATAAAAGTCAGCATGAAGGTACTACTGACCATTTCCCAGTTAAATTTCGTATTTTTCAAAGACCACAAAGCTTTTTGCCAGATGCACACGTGAGAAATGTGCAAATAAATAACCTACTAAAACAGGATACTGAAAAACAGGATACTGAAATATCTGAAGGTATCCTACTACTGTATGCCTTACCTATGCTAACACTTACTGAATGCTTCATTGCAAGAATAAATGTATTTACAGACTATCACATCACCATCCTAAGTCCTTAAAATTAAATCCTTAGTAATCAAGCCATATAATGAGGAATGCAGGATGCACACATCCCTTTCAACCTGTAAGCAGCACGTTGAACTGTCCCCTTCCAGCACGAGAGCATCTGAATCACCTATTTGGAGGGTTTTGAACAAAGTAAGTTGCCAAGCAGAAAACTCAGTGGCCTGTTCTGATTTCATTATTTGCTTGTCTGGGGCTAGCATTAATCTACTGAAGCACAGAAGGAACATCGAAGTTCTTTCTCTCTGGAGCCAGTCTGCCCATGCACATCTTGCAAAGAAATAAAGCAAGGCTTTATCCCCCATTCGGGGGGGCTTTTTTCTGGACAGAGAAAATTCACATCCTTCACAGAGAATACATAGTACCTTCCAGATACAAAAAAAAAACCCACCACACAACAAAAAACAACCCACAACAAAAAAAACAATACAAAGGGCTACAACAATACAGCATAGAGAAGCTTGCATTTGTACATTTATATATGTCCTGCAGCAGAACTGAAATCTATATATGCTTATTGCTAGCATTTCCCAGTACTTTATAACGAACTACCGGGTTTTCATTAGCTTAATTGTCAATTTTTTTTCCTTAGAGGGAACTAGCATTCCTTAAAACATCCCAAATTACTTGACATTTCTAAGCTGCTCGTTACACATAACCTATTCTTTTGTTGTTTGCCTGAGATTTGGGTGTGATTCTCCAGGGTGGAAACTAAAGCCTACTGTACCTTATCAGGAGGTGGGAACTGGAGCTGATTGACATCCAGGGGTGTGATCAGGGGGATGGTATCAAACCCATCCTCCAAAAGGGGCTGCTTTGTGCTCTTCTCGCTGAAATTATTCCCCAGTTTCACCATTCTTCCAGGATAGAGGGATTTTCTGCTGGCACACACAGGCACACACGCACAGACATGCAAAATGTCAGAAACTCGGGATGCACCAGACCTTTCCCCAGCCCCCGGGAAACCCGAAATATCTTACGGCAAGAAAAAAAAAAAATCACGCGTTCATCGCTGTGACTCGGTTACATTTCGGCGTTCTGGGAAGCAAGAACGACG